CTTTGGCAGGAAATCGCATGCATTATTACGTCATTTCCACTAAATTAGTGTAAAAAAAGGGCTTCAAACAATATTATCGTTTATCTCAATAATTTTTGAGACAATTAATCGTTCAGCAAAATTTGTTATTGTGACAGGCCTAGTTATGAGTGCAAATTTAGAAAAAAACTGATGAACTGATGTCACTGAGCTATGGGACCCAAAGGAGTTAATTGGGGAAAAAATGATGTTCAGAAAAATTAAATGTACACAAACAAAAAATGTTATTAGTTTATAAAATGAATCAATCACCCAGCCCAGGATTGGTTGTACTTTTTGTACATTTTCAGCAGTGTTTTTCTCTTAAGGACCCTGCACTGAATGTCGATTGGGATCCAAAGCCTAAGAAATGTTTATTTAATACTTTGAAAGATTTTTTCTTTTTTGTACTCAGGCTTTCTTTGTCTTATGTTAAAATAAGCCTAACAACCTGAAACATTTAGGTGTGTTAGTGCGGCATTATCGTTTTTTCTAGTGATACTGCCATCTGTGGCCAAAACACAGAAGTGCAGCACTCTTCTGCTTGCACTTGTAGCATGCGCTTATACTGAAGTTGTTTTTTTTTTCTTGTTTTTTACAACCTTACTTGGAGTTGCCACTGGTATCTGCGTCAACCTGAATGCCGGTCACCTCTGATTATCCACAAAATTGATCTTGAACGGTTTGATCAACTGCTGGGTCAGACCCATTTAATATGGATGTGCTTGACGTCAAATCCGGGGAACTTCCGACCCGCAGTAAATTAAGGTAAATAGGCCACATGCTTATAGATGTATCGGCTCTGAACTACTGAGGTGTCAGTCTGCTCATCAAACCATGGGGAGTGTTGGCCTAGTGTAGGAGTAACCATTTATCAGTTGGGTCCGGATAACGAAACTCACCAACCAGTAAAGGTCTGGAGACATTTTTAATTATAATCTGTTACTTTAAACAGAATTTAACACTGAAATAGAATGAGGTTTTTATGCATCAACCCGTGTAAATAAAAAAGAAAATATAGAAAATGTTTCCATTTTAAAATCTAAAGTGTTTTTTGAAGTGAAGAACAAAAAACACAGTTTTTTTTTGGTATAAAGACAATTTCCTGATTCACATATTTTTTAAAATACCTGAACTGACCGTTTGTTATATTTTTGTTTCTTTTCTATGGCTTAATGAGAGCAGTGGGCTTTAGGCTGACCTGTAAGGCTTTAAGCCTGGGTTTGAATGGAGACAAAGCCATTCTAAAGCACATATAGAGGTGCTCATTTGTGAACCTGGATCGATGTTTATTTTTGATTAAAAATAAATATTTTGAAGAGATTTTTCAGTAAATTGGACCTTCTTCTCTTTTTGACTATTTGAGCTGATGTAACTGAGTACATTTCTTTCCAAAAATCCCCTGCATGGCCACGAGGATTATGATAGCGGGAAGGAATCAACTGTAACGCTGTGTTGTAGGTTTTTGAGAGCTGAAACCTGAGTCCGCCCCCTCTGTTTGAGGTTCTTCACTGTGAGCTCAGGAAAGTCAATCAATCAATAAATATTTATATAATGTCTCTTCCATGAATCAAAACAATGTAAGGATTTTTTCAATGTAAATATACCTCAAAGCACACGTCCCTAATTGTACTGCTGGATTTCTATTAAACTCCAGGAAAAGTGCATCTGAGAAAGATGCCGCTTAAGCGTTTACTGACTGAAAGGATTGACGCTTTCAGCTTTGATTCTTTAAATGAAAAGAGAAAGAAAACAGCTTTCTATAGTAATTGAGCTGCCAGTCATCTGTCAGAGAAGGAGGTTTGGCCCATTTTAATAACTGACTGTGATTGGTGGGTAAATGAAATGGAAAACATGTTTATGTTCTCCATTGTTCGTGTTTCCGTCTATGTAAACCAACACTGCGTGTTGGTCTTTTTTTTTTTCTGGAGTTCTAATATGTAGTCATGCTGTCATCTACATATGAAAGAAAATCATTATGCTGGCGAACCGAGATTAATCTTCATACCACATGAAACAGTGTGATATCCTAGTAGACTGAATTGTGTACGTTCCCTTGATTTTTGGATATAAGCATTTTCTTTTTTTTTATTCTGTTTACTTGTCAGGTTGGGGTCTGAACTGCTCCCTCTACCAAGAACATCGGTCTTGGTAGAGGTCAGGCCCTGGGGCCCATGGCCGGTGACACTTCGGGGTGGCTGGCAGCCGGCGGAGCCCGCAGGCTCGTCTCCATTGCTCCGCGGAGCTTCGGCATTGCGGTGGCGGGGGGTTTTCATCTGGGCCGTCTCTCCTCATCCCTTGGTGGGGGGGCAGATTTCCTCTTGAACACCTTTGCTCTGGGAGTCCCTTTGGTCATCTGGGGCTTTGGGTCCCCTGCTGTTTGACTCGTTGTTCTGGGGGGGCGGGTCTTTGGCTCTTCACAACCACTGTTGAGCATTTTTCGTTGGATAAACTTTATTTGCACAAGTGCACTCTCACAAACAACTACAGGCGCTTGGCTCCAGGTACTTAGAGATTCACTTCCATACAGAAAGCCCATATTCCTATCTTCAGCTACCACAGTATACATGTCAGGTTAATAATACTACATATACTTCAGCGATAGCATCAAGGTGTTACTTTATTGTATCTAATATATTATATCTGTTGGTTGTGCTGATCTTTTAGATATCTCCTTGCAGGTGATGAAGCAGACATAAGACTTATCATTGTCTTCCTTTTATCCTTTAATCTCCTCTTTTTTTCATCTTTTCTCCTTTTACTTGTTTTTTATTTCCTGTTCTACTTTTCCCATTTCAGTGTCCATATAATCTATAATACTCGCTTCATGAATTATAATAAAGCGGAACATGGCAATAGCCGTACTGCTCCACTTGTGAAAGTAAAATCTGTTGGACTCCTTTTGGCATCAAGACAATTAGCTTTATTGTCAGACAAGACACTGAGAAAATAAAAATATATAAGCATTCAGAATGTAGGGTGAAGTATTTATCCACGGTAATTTAGCTATAGAAACAATTAAGATAATAAAATTGATAAATGCTAGTGATATCTTGTTTGAGTCCAGCTCATCCATTTTAAGGCAGAATTGTTCAAGAATTAAGATTTTGTCTGACACTAAAGTCTACCTCCCTCTCAACATCTTCTCCTTTTACCAATCTCTGAACAGGCATCCGCGTGCGTTGTGAAGCGGACTATGTGCACATGCACCACAAGTTTGCGGTGGTGGACAGCCGGCTACTCATCACCGGCTCCCTCAACTGGACACTCACAGCTGTGCAGTGCAACAGGGAGAACGTCATCATTACGGAGGAGGCAGAGCTGGTGCAGCCCTTCATCAAGGAGTTTGAACGTTTATGGGTGCTCAATGATCCAGCCCGAGTCTATAACAACCTGTAATGGATGGAAAAGATTTACCACGAAGATCACTCGGCCTGTGCAAGTTTAGCTGGTGTTAAGAGGCTGCGTTTACTTTAAGTTTAAGTGGACTAGGAATACTAGAATGCCTCTCAAAGGAATGAGGCTTGTTTAATCATTCAGCTATTTTTCAGTCTGCTTTAGTATTTCTTTTATGACAAAATGCTTTTTAAGTGATAAGTTAGATTGCAGATTGTGTTAAAGTTTTATCAGTTTTTTTAGTGGTATATCAAGGGAATTTCTCTTGTTTCAGCATGTGAAATATTCAGTTTAGAATTTTTTTTAAATCTATTTCCTTTATAATCTTTATAATGTCAGGTTTAATTATTTGTCAGCTTTTAGTCAAATATGTTTGAAGTTTTTCATGTGTAAGCAAGCTGTTAAATCTGAATGTGGATAATTATTAGTTTCTTGTTTTTGTGAAAATCTTTATATTTTGTATTGCATTTGCATTGGCAGTAAAAGTAGGAGTTTGTTTTTACAAGAGGCTCAATTTGTTTTTTCTGTTAAGAACAGTTTGTTTTTTGCTGCCGCTGTAATTTAATGTTTCAAATTGTTTATGCTCATTACTGCCTGTGGTTTTTCATGATGCAATGTTTGAACATGAAAAAGTGGACTTTTCTTGACTCTGTTTGTTCTCATTTATAACAACACTTTGAAAAACACTTTGTCTGGTTTATTTTATAAGTTAAGCTAATTTTTGACACCCTTTACATCCTCAGTTGGGAAAGTTGGAGGTAAGGCGGGGGTGTGGATGCTTGGTGGTTTCACTGCAAAATAGAAATTTACTTAATGTTCATTAATAAATTTTACGGTAATTGATCAATATTTGATGACTAGTAGCTACTAAAGATGTGGATTATTTGTCTTTTTAACGATTAAATTGTGGCTTGAGCTTGCCTCGGATTTGGGTGTGCTGTGGCTAAAAAGGTTAAAATAATAAGAAATTAGGGGAATGTGTCATTTGATTTTAAAACAATACATAACTTTTAGTATTTGTTTACATCATGCATCCTGTTCTGCAAAGCACTGATAAATATGGTTATCATTCTCTTTGGATCAACAAGCAAACCCTAGATATTGCTTGATGTGTCAATTAAATTAAAAAGAAGGGCAGTGGCGCCATCCACTAACTGTGTGTTTGGCTTAACGGAGTAATAAATACATGACAAACTTCTTAGACCAGTGATTAAAAAATGTAAATAAGACTAAAAAAAAATGCAACATGTTTACAGTCACATATTTGTTTAAAACTTGTACAAAATGATAGATGTATTTGATTTTTTCATTATGAACCGTGGCACTTTTGGTCTTCCATATAAATAGGCCAACTGAACTAATTGGTTTTGGGATGTTTCTGGAAGGAGACCACAAATGACTTAAACCATTTTTTTAAGCAGTGGTCTAGTAAGATCAAACAGCTTCGTTCGCCTTGATCATGCCTTATCAAAATAAAAGCCTTCTTACCAGCCCACTCATATTCAGTAGCTTTTAAACAACATTTAGGCTCTTTTATCATAAAAAAAAACATAACCTTTTCTGATCAAGAGTGCGTAGTTAAAAAAATAAATAATTAAACGGTGAGTAAAATGAATCAGTGTAGCTTCAAAGTGATGAACGCTCATAATTTGCGCGCAGGAATCAGCTTTTATTTTTGTGAGCTCAAACCGGAAGTAGGTTTATTTCTAGGGGTCTAACTTAACGTGTCCCAGTGACAGACACATGCACCAGGGTGGAGATCCGGGAGCCGAACACCTGATCTGCAGAAGTCCATAAAACTGTGCAACTTTTGGCTCTCTGCTGGGGGGGCGGGGGGGCTGTGACGATCAGAGGTGACATCCAAGGTAAACCTGCGTCCACGCGTGTTTTACTTTCAGCGACTCACAGATGCAGTTAAGGTGTTTTGTAGTAGTGCAGCTGCCGTATGCTGCTTCGTTGCAGTCAAATTAGGTTAGTTTGAACTTCGAATTGATAATGGGAACTTTAACTTAAAAACAACTAAAAAAAAAGGTAGGCCTACATTTATTTACGCATAAAAGCAATCAGAAAAAGGTGCTCTCATTAGAGTAGTTTATTTTTTCCTGATAAAAGCTGCTTTATTTATGTATAATGCTTACATGTGGAAAAGACTTGTCTTCTTTTTGATTTTGACAGTAAAAACTCATCCTGACCAACAGTTTGCTGCTTTATCTTGACTGATGCGTCTGCGCATGCGTGCGCTCTGGTGTGCGCGCAGCAGCGCGCCGCCCAGTCTCCTCCTTTAGGATCTTGGAAGTGGTAAATGCTGAGCTGGTCTCCAGAGACATCCCATCATCAGCAGCCAGCCAGGGAGGAGCACTACCCTCCTGCTCCTCTGGGATGAAGGAGGGGGGTGGGCTGATGAATGGATGGTTCAGCCTCATTATGATGCAGAGGGATGAGGGGAGGAAAGAGTGGGTGAGATATGGATGGTTTATGACAGGGAGGGGATGCATAGATGGATGAATATAGCCCAGTTAAGGGAGATGGATGAGAGTGGGTGTGTGTTTGCGTATAGGTTTGAGTGGGAGTGTCAGTGGGTGATGGATGAAACGCAAGCAGAGGTTAAGAGGATCTGTTGCCCTCAGCAGACCACTCAGTGCCTACAGATGCTATAAGTTTATGTGGTGACTTCATGTGACAAATGGACGGAGGGAGCAGTGGGTGACGGATAATGAGGGAAACCGTGGAGGGAGCACGCCCTGGATGTGATTTACTGCCTTGTGATGATCTCTCAAAAAGGAAAGGCAGGAAGACAGACATACATTTATTCCACCCATCGTTTACTTTAGCCTTATCTAGACAGTTCAAAGTGGGCAATGCCAAACAATGCATGTTTTCCCCCCATCTAAAACTAATTTGTAGAGAATTGATGTTTTTTCTCAATTTAGACTTCCTTAGTTACTATTCACCAAACAGGTTTGAATTTGTTTTTCTCTTCTATTTCCTGTTTAGTTCCAATTAATAGAGACAAAATAAATTAATGCTTTGATTATTTACGATGGGTTGCAAGCATTTTACCAAACCTGTTAGTGGAACTGATAAAAAATAACTTTTCCTTTTCTACCCATATGCTTACCTCTCATAACAGGTTGGCTTAATTTAACCTTTCCAATTGTTTTTTTTTTATTTTTCCTACATTGGATCTTATAAAACAAACCTGTATCTGCAATTCAACAGTTCACATAACCTTAACTAAATCTGTCTCGAATCTCCAACCATTAAGTCTTGAAAAATAAACATTTAAAACAATTTTTTTACCTTTTTGGTTGAATCAAAAATAGAAAATGATATAGGTTCCTTATGACTTAAAATCTGTTCATTATTATTTATATTTAGACCGGAGGAAAAGTCACACTAGGGAAAACTACTTTTTGCAAACAGGATGAATATGATTCTGTTTTATGGAGTTGGTGTTTTAAATGGGTAAAGCGAGCATTCGCTATGTGATCTGCTGAAGTGGAGCTTAATCATAGCAGCCCGAATAAACAGAGACATTTGCCTGTAGAAAAAAGGCTTTCTGGAGCTAAAGTTGAATTTTGCAGAATATTTCAACATCTGAATATCTCTGAAAATGTCTGACTTTTATTCCTTTATGCCCTCAGAATAATAAAACAGAGGAAATAATAATGTATGTAACTGATATCCTAAAGCTTTTTTTCTCACCAGTATGTTTCTTTGATATCTTTAAAAAAATATATTGACTATAATTTTCCTCCAGGCTCTCTGAAAGTCTCCCAAACTGTTTCTTTTGTCAGTCACTGCATGCTTACCTATTTTTACAGCAGAAAAGTCATTATGACCTATAAGACCTTCAAGCATTAAGTATCTTTACAGAAATGACTCACTGTTTCCTTCTTATAACCCACAACTCAAGCATTTTTTTTTTATAACAGCTCCCATTACATTAGTTAGATAGGGGGAAATGTTAATGCTAATTCAGTTTTGTAGACATTAAACACTATTTTACAGCCATGCAGGTGATTCCCAAGGAGGAGTTGGCTTACATCACATCAGATAACCAGCTAAAAGAGGATGGATTTCTCAGGACTTTTTTTACACCAATATGTCTCTTTTTAGAGCAAACATCTGGATCCTCATGCAGTTTTTATAAAGAAATGTCATAATTGTTTTTTTTTTTTCCAACTTTTAACATTCCTAAATTATACATGGCCCTTAAGGTTGACCACATTTTCTCTACACTTCAGTCACTAATATGAAACACCAACTTCACGCTGGAAGTCTTCACTTAGTTTGAATTTTTTTTATTTTGAGCACTTCCCATGTTTAAGTTCATCCATTGCAGGATCAACTTATAGCCCAGCACCTCTGCCCCCGCTGAAGAAAAGCACCCCCCCACAGCAAGCTGCTATGCTCACCAAGATTTTTTCGCAGTCTGTGTGTAAAACTGTAAATAAGACATTTTACAGTTGGATGTCCTCTAACGCTACCACCTGTGGAAGCCACTGTGCTTATTAAAGGTATAGAGGATGATATTTTATTTCCGGGTGGATCATCTAAATAAGTGGTCCTCCTAATTTTTCCTTATAATTTACGTAAAGGCCGTCCTACGTGCTCGTCCTGTTAGCTATCTTTTTCTGTGCATGCATGAAAATGGCCGAGGGTCGTAAGAGAAAAAGTGTCAGTTCAAACAGAGGAGAGCAGATAAGGGTCTAGTATGTGAACATAAACTGCTACTAATGATCAACAAAAGCTTAAAGGTATAGAGGACGATCTTTTATTTCTGGGTGGATCAACTCAATAAGTGGTCCTCCTAATTGTCAATCATTCTGGTGATGTGCTTCCGTAAGGCCGTCCTACGTGCTCGTTACGTTAGCTATCTCGTTCTGCGCACTTTCAGGTGTATCTCTGTGGTGAACTACAGTTTCAGACGGTTATTGAAGCTCATCTTTCTCACGGCGGTGCTTTGATAGTGGCTGAGGGTTGTAAGAGAAAAAGTCACTACGAAGTGTATTCAAAAAAGAAAGGCCTTAGAAGAGGCAGATATATCCAGGAATGCTTGCAATGCGTTATGGGATTTGCTGTCACAGAGGCCCGCTGTCACCATGAGCTGTTGCTATCCGACACCGGCGAGTAAATAACAAAGATCGGGGTGTAAAAAGTAGTGATCGTCTGTCCAAACGGTAAATTAACTGAGTTTACTCTATAGTCCCCGCTCTATATAGTGATTGAAGGATTTATGGGTTAGAGCGGACGATCGGACAGTGAGTTTGTATGAGCTATGAGAAGAGCAACTTTTATACAGAGCGTGCACGAGGAGAAATGGGCTGGTGCATGCTCTCGCACGCGTTTAACAGGCGTTTCCTCTCGGGAGCAGGTACAGGGTTGTGCATGTGCATATTTTTTTTTTTTATGTTGGGAAGGCCGGTCTTTTCATACATTTGCGAAGATATTTCAATATAACTTTAATTATCTCCTTATCTGGCCTTTGAGTTTAGCTTATCCTGGTGGGTTTGTAGCTGTGCTTGAGCCTTTTCCTTTTTAGAAGAGAGGGGACTCTGGGATGTTCAAAGCTTAAATGTTTATAACCTAACCCTCCCTGACCTAACTATGTTAGTTTAAAGTTCTCCTAAAAACACTGGACACGCTGGAGGGACTATGTTTCTCGACTGGCCTGGCAGCGCCTTGGGGTTCCCCCGAAAGAGCTGGCCGAAGTTGCTGGGGAGAGGGACGTCTGGGCCTCTCTACTGAAGCTGCTACCCCCGCGACCCGAACCCGGATAAGCGGAAGAGGATGGATGGATGGATGGATGGATGGATGGATGGATGGATGGATTGATAAAAACACTATAGAGATATACACAGTTGTTAGGTGACATGTGAAGTCAAGTGGTGGCACATGGATGTATTTGGGGTATCAGTGTAAAGAAAAACAAATTAGAATAGCATTTTATATTAGCATAAAGAGGAAACATTTAGATTGTTTCTAAGGTATTTACATTTGGGGTTTCATCTAAAGCAGCAGTATCGATATTGGTTATCAGTATTTGCCCAAATAATTATATCTGTGCATCGCTAAAAACACAAGACTCCTTTCAGTTTTTATTTATATAAAATAAATGACAAAGCCACTTATTTTTTGCTTAACTTAACAGCTGTGCTTTGTGCTTCTTCATTAAAAAACTCCCAAAATATGTTGGAATTTTTATTTTTATGTTGACTAAATCTAAAAAAAAAAAAAAAGAACCTTTTTTTTTGGCCTTGAAAAATAATTATAAAATGTTTGTCTCCTGATTTAACAAGACTTAATAAGGCAAGGTAGTGCCAGGTGCTCCCAATTAAAAGAATTTGATTAGCTGATCATTTCAGCACTGCTCTGAAAGACGTTTCTGACAGATTGCAGCGAAACACAAACAGCTGATATTTTTCTTTTCCACTGTCTCCCAGAGTGCTCTATAAGTGTTGATTTGGGCTGTTTTGCAGCTGAAAACCCATGCAGCGACCTTGAACGCATCCAATCTACAGTAAAGTATGCCATCTTCCTTGTTCTGATTTTACTCAACAGATGGCGCTAGCCCGGGAACCAGGGGTGGGTCAGGAGCAGAGGGACGCAGCTGACCAGAACTTTGACTACATGTTCAAGGTGCTGATCATCGGTAACAGCAGCGTGGGGAAGACCTCCTTCCTGTTTCGCTATGCGGACGACTCCTTCACCTCAGCGTTTGTGAGCACAGTGGGCATCGACTTTAAAGTGAAGACCATCTACAGGAATGACAAGAGGGTCAAGCTCCAGATCTGGGTGAGACGATTAAATAAAGAACCTTCATTGATCTCTGCATTAATAAAAACTGGCCCCTAATATCAACCCTCCTTTGACCAGCACCAGCAAGTCTTTTTCTATTTGCAAAAGGAAACTAGTAAAATATTTTGCTGCTTTTTTCCACTTCATACTCCTTTCAAACCTCCCCCTCCTTGTTGACCTCCTTTCACTTTTTGGAAAAGCAGCTGCAGAAGTACTTGAATACAAATAAACTTTAGAAACCGATCCAACTTTAAAAAGGATTTGATTTGTGTGTTTTACTTCTAAACATTAAGCTGAGAATATTAAGCATCTAGTCCTTTTAAGTCAGTGTGTTTCAATGACCTATTTGTTTCTTCCCTAAAGTTCTGTGAATTTTTCCAAATGCTTGCACAGCCTCTAGAAATAAATAAATATAGAAATCACTAACTTAAGCAGGCCTGTGGATGGCGCCGTGTCACTGTGATGATAACCCAGCCAGGCAACAGATTAGAAGGTGAAGCATTTCAAGCAGATGGCCTGAAATATTAGAGATTTGATGATCAGGTTAGAAACCTAAAATTAAAAATTACAACATTCTCTCTCCAGATTTTTACATTCCAGACCCAGTTTGAAAAAATATTGTTTTACTATTGTATTTTTTTGTTTTTGTTATGTAGATTGTACCGTTGTCTGTCTCACAGCATTTTTCTGCTTGAGGTTTAGACCAATAATCTTGTTGTTAAAAAATCTGATGGTGTAGCCTTAACTATAAAAAAAAAAATAATAATAATAATTATGCAGTTAGAAGAATTAGCAGTAATTTAAATAGGTGCAATCTTCAAAAACAAAATGCACAGATCAGAATACTTCTGGCTGCTTTATAGTTTTGTACAGTTTTTTAGTTGATTTAAAAATCCCTTAAACTATAAATAATAAGATCTATTCCAGTTGACAGAAAGACTTTGTTTTCCCTGCTGCTGTGAATTGTGGTAAAATATTACAACACAGATGTGAGAGAGCAATTGCTGCAAAACTTCTTTTTAGTATCATTTTCTAAAAAAAATAATTTCAAAGATGAGGATTAAGTGATAGACTGTTATTAAATAAAGTATCACCAAGTTAGACCAAGTGATGATTACTCCAAAATCTCTTCATTCCTTTATTGCTTTCATTTCTTACATATCAAACACCTTTTTTCTTGGTGTTTTCTTTGTTCATTGATGGCGAGTTTTTGTAATTATAGCCAAGAATGATTTTTATATTCATTGTTCTATTTAAAAAGATGGTACTTTATTAATTGTTTTAATAAAACAACCAAAATACCCATAGTTAAAACCTCTTTATCTCTTTAGTTTTGTATGAAAAAATGTCTTTAAACTACCTGATCGGGCGTGTATCCCTTTAGTCCTTTAGTCATGTACAAAAAAAACAATTGATTACTTACTTTTTGGTGTTTTTTTAAGCGTCTGGCGATCTGACCTTAAATTTTATTTTTTTTGCACATGACTGAAGGGATACACGCCCATTGAGGTATTTTAAAGTTTATTTTTCATACAAAACTAAAGGGATAAACGTCTTGCACATGCGGGTCTGACGGGGGTATGCTGATCTGATGTATTTTCAGGACTAGCTAAAAAATAAATATATATATATATATATATATATATATATATATATATATATATATATATATATATATATATAAAACAAAGTGATAATAAATAATATTCCATGTTCACATTGTGCCAAGCAAAGGGCCTTAAAGGAATAATTGCAGCCTGGATTCTTAGAAAGCGCTTTTTAAAGTGTTCTTTGAGAGACAACAGGATTGGCAGACTGTGTGTCAGCAAAGCAGAGCCCTAAAAAAGCTTCAGTCTCTGTGGTGTCAAAACTGTAATTTACTGGAGATAATTAATAGCACTTACCTGAGGGTGAGAAGATTTAGAATTCATCAGTCACCGCAGACAGAGCAGCAGAACAAGTAGTGCTTTTCATTGTTTGCCCTCTTTCGTGTCGCTGCCTGTCATGAATTTAAACTAATTTCTCCCGCTCCGCAGCTAATGACAGCTGATGTTTAACATTGTCCCCAGATGGCAGGCTTCATGAAAGATGCATGGGTCTGAGCTGCCTGAGCCCAATGTGCTTACTGCGCAAACTGACACCGGGGACAGATCTATTACCCAATGTTAGTGGAAGGCAAGGACCCCCGACTGATAACTGCATTAAATCTTCTATTGTGGGTGTTATACTTTCTCTGACAAAAGCAAAGTTAAGCAGAAATAACATGTTGCAACAATCATACAACACTAAAAGGGATCTCCAAACTTTTTATTACCAGTTGATTCTTCTTTGCATCATTTTATTCTCCTAAAATCATGCAAATATAAAGAATATTTCGGCAACCAGCTTTATTTTATTGGGTAGTAAGTTTTCTCCAGTCTTCAAATAAGAATATCCTGCCTTAAAATACCACAGATATCTCTGCTGTTTTGTGTTTTATCAGTTATTTATTTGAATGAACTTCTGGATGTTTACCACGAGTCCCATGTTTGCAGGACACTGCAGGGCAGGAGCGGTACAGGACCATCACCACAGCCTACTACAGAGGAGCCATGGGATTCCTGCTCATGTATGACATTACCAGCCAGGAGTCTTTCTGTGCCGTTCAAGACTGGTAAGAACAACACATAGGGATGGTTCAGATTCATTTGAACTGGGTTTCTCTTTAAGGGATGTTGTGTAATTTCTTCTGTTCCTTTACTTCACGAAATCAATTACTTGAATTTGAAATGTTTGAAATATTTAAATGTTTTTGCATTTAGCAGATGCTTTTATCCGAAGCTGCTTTAAAGTAGGCATTAGCGTGAAGGGTCTTGCCTAAGGACTCACACTGGCAGCTCATTCGCCTCAACGGGGATTCAAACGTGGGTTGTTTCCACTAGTAGACATATTATGATTATGGTGAAAGGCTAACAGCTACTCAGATGAAAGTCATGTTTACACTGAATAGAGCAGTTAACCGTGTTTAAAAATCAGCTGTTATTAAGGGCATACTCACACCTTAAAAGACCTTCAGTCTGCATTTTCATTCACATTTTTGTTACTTAGGACTTTTTTCTGTCGCATTGTAATCTTTGAAAATGAACTCTGACCTGGAAACATAACCGTGAACCAGATGTCCTGTGTTGGATAGAAGTAACTCTGGTGGGATGGAGCAAAGTTCGAAATATGGAAGGAAACTAGTCCTGCATGCAGAGCATCTCTCCTGCATATTTGTTCAAAATCATGGTGTGTGTCAAGAATAGCTGATTGAAAGCAGATTTTGGGACTTTTTATTTTTTAAGGTGTCATTAAATACTCACTAGGAACTGAAAATGGACAGTGTGCCCTTTGGTGGCTGCATGACAAAGTGAAATGTGGATAATCGGGTGTGCCATTGCTATATTCACTGTCTTTAACCCTTAAGGACACACGGGGGCGCCAACGCTCCCAGTTACATATCTTTTTTTTTCAAAAGCAAGTAGAACTGCAACCAAGAAAGGTGGAGGTTTTATTTTTTTCCAAGTTGAACCATATGGATAAAATGAAACATTCTATTCACAATGAGTTCCTGAGCTCTGTTTCCCTCCAAGAAATGTTGTTTTCATTTTGGATAAATCCAATAAAAACGCATAAAAACTAAACATTATAATCCACAATGCTGTGTACTTCCTACATCGCAATATAAGTGATGTCATCGGTGGATTAACTGTGATGTGTTTTTTTTTTTTTTCTGCCACTGACCAGGACACAACTGGAAATGACGTGCATTTTTATTTTTCCAGGAGTTGTAGTTTTTAAACAGTTTTTTCTTTTTACCTCGCTCGCACTTCTGTTTCGTCTCTTCACATTTTTTACACTTTCTTTTAGTAGTTTCCCTTCTATTCAAATACGCGCATCGACACACCAGATATTCAACAGACATGAACACGCAAAAGGGACGCGCATGCAGTTTTTTTACGGCACTGGATGAAGATGAAGACTGCTTCCACTAATCTGACTTGGATTCTCTGACACTGCAGAAGGAGCTGCATTTATTGACAGAATGGATCCTTCCCATGACATGTATGTATTTATTTATGAAATCTTACTGGTTTCTGAGTTAGAAAAAATGTATAAAAATGCTAAATCGTTACACCTCATTATTATATGATCTTGTTATGGACACATCTAAGCTGATTTTAGAGATTGAATATATCCTCTTCATGAAGTTTGCATGTGTGTGTGTCTATGCATTTTTAAAAAAAAACATTTTCCTGTAACATTTTTCTCTTTGCAGTGTTGATAATGTTGAGGATGAGGGAGACTAGACCTCCTGCTCCCTGAGGCAGCCACTTGTCTAGAGAGAAGGAGAGGAAAAGGAAGGAGCCATCTTTTTCCACATGTAGAAAGAACAGGAAGTTGTATCTGACAGTGCTGCGCTCCTTGGTGCACATTGCTGTAACAAACAGCTAGGATCTGTGTGACAGACTGGATCAGCAGCTGCTGACCCACCAGGCTTTCAGGAGCAGTCCACAACAAATACCAGGGGCCTGTCAGCACATCTTTGTGGCCATTGCTGAGGTAACATCAGCCTGCAAGAAAGCCACAAAGGGATGCAAGAATTGCACGATGTGGGGAATGCACTCGCTTCACCTGTGAGGCATGTTAAGTCCCTCTGGTTGTGATAGCTTGCAGGAGCTGTCAAAAGATCTATAACTGCTCCTACAATCAGATCGAAAACTAATCTTTACTCCTGGTCTGTGGTTCCTGTATTGTAAATAATTTATTATAGATAAGGTTAGGGTCTCCCTGTTGCGTTTTTATATTCTGCTTTTTGTATCTTGATGGAGACTGTTACCTAAATTTATGTTTAACTGTTTCAAAGTTTCAATACAGTAAAAAACTATTATATTATTGTTGATCATAACACTTTATGTTTTCTTGTAAACCTTTATGTGTGTTTGTATGCATCTGCTATACTTAGAGATTTGATTTCCCTACTATAAACACTTAATTTTGAAGTACATATAAATTTTTCTCACATGATTCAAAGGGGCGGGGGGGCTGCCTGCTCACTTAAACGAACAGCTTGATCAGATGATTTGTAGTCGGCTGAGAGAATTATCAAACAACGACAAGGTCGAAATAGTATAAATCGCAGCCTACAACAAAATCCATAAGTGCTGACAGATTTAAAGCGGACTGATGAACCGAGAAGGTCAGACCCATTGATACCTAAGACAAACCCTCCATGACTTTAGCAAATAACATGGATGTTGTTAAAATGAAGAATCGGAAGCTTTCAGGGCACCAGGCTGCAGAGCCAGAGACCTGGCTTATAACTCCACCATTCACATAAGCAGTATTCTTAGATGTTTAGATATTTTTTTTTATTTTACTAAACTCTGTGTCTGCACTATTATGCAGCAATGCATTCAGAGCTTTAAATGCAAGCATGCATCAGAGTATAACACAAGATGGTGCATCAGATTCTGCCGATTAAAATATTTCTTAAAGTAAATTTCCTCCAAAATAACTTTTTTTGCTAATTCATTTTATAGATAGATGCTTTATAATGTTATCTAGGTTGCCATTTTACTTTTTGTTAAAAAACAAAAAAAAACAAAACTGCGGTTGTGTCTAAAACCATCTGTTTAGAGCCCTCCTTAGATCAGGAGGAGGTTGCTGCATCTGATTTTTGCTCCTGGCTTTGGAGAACTCATGTCAGCAGCAGCTCTACCCTGGGCAGCTGCTATCTGTTGATGGGTTTCTCCAACTCTGCTTTGGGGTTGACGATACATTAAATATCTTTTTATATTAAACTTTTTTGTAACCAGCTAAAGAATCAACCCACTGAGACTATTGTCTCAGTTGCGTCTCTCCTGCCTCTAACATTCTGTTTCTCAGGCACAATGAAGCCATCTTTCGCTGTGCTTCAGCATAGCTTGTCTTGGTGAGCTGTAGCCTCTCCCTGCCCTGGGTTTTGTTTCCCTGGCGGGCTTCTCTGCTCTCCTCTTGAGTTACCTTATTCCCCCACTCTAGTGCGCAGTGGGGTCATCCTACCTACCAGAGATGGGAAGTAACGAAGTACAAATACTTCGTTACTGTACTCAAGTGGATTTTTCTGATATTTTTACTTTACTTTACTACTTATTTTTATGGCGACATTTTACTTCTACTCCTTACATTTTTACACAAATATCTGTACTTTCTACTCCTTACATTTTAAAAAATTGGCTCGGTACTTTAGTTTTCAATCATTTCATTGGAGTTACCGTTATTATTTTTCACGTCATCAATACCAAATTCAATCTAATTGGATGGGAATCTACGTTGCATTTGACGCACCACTACAAGATGAATCGACAGATTCGGCGGTATTCATTCGCGGCAAATCATTGCAGCTTGGTGGCGGTGCTGTTAGCATAGTAGCATGGACGACGAGATGATTGAAAATGAACACAACGGAGATCTAGTCCTATTGGCAGACATCCATGTAAAATGTAGGCAACGGCATGAAAAAAGTGGTTTCTACTTTTACTTTTATACTTTAAGTAAATTTACAAGCCTGTACTTTGTTACTTTTACTTGAGTAAAGAAGTTTAATCAGTACTTCCACTTTTACCAGAGTATTTTTTAACACAAGTATCTGTACTTTTACTCAAATACGGAAAGTGAGTACTTTTGCCATCTCTGCTACCTACTCAGTCGACCCAGTCATCGTATTGTGCTCTCTCTCCCGCGGCTCTCACACTGACGCCCTGCTTCTGTCTGAGCTCAGACACCATCTTCTCTTCCCTTTGTTGTCTGGTTGAATCGCCCCCCTGTTTTCGGCATTCTGACTAAAACAAACATTGACCAAGTGCAAAAGAAAGATGCATGTCCGCTCAGCGGAAAACTCAACGCAATGACCTGTGCTTTAAAATGGTGGACTTCATAAAGACCGGCTGATGGCCAATCATGGTTGATCACATGAAAATCAGATTAGCGAGCACTGCTTATTGACCAGCGCAAGTCTAATACCTGGGCAAAGAGTTTGTGTCAATGCATTTCAAGATATGAAAGTTATTACTTTTTGTCTGTCAAAAGTGTTTGGTTGGAATATTTATCCTTTCTTCCCCCCATTTTCTCTGTCTTTGGTGTCTCTCCACCTCATACGACCGCTCCTTCACAAAACTATTGCTGGGATCACAGCGGAAACGGTGCCCAGCCCTCAGCAATCTGCATGGTGCATGGTTCATAGGTTACATTCATTAGAGTGACATCCTGTTGTACTTTAAGTAGGACGAACTCTGGGAGATCAGACAGGACCAAGTTATGCCTCTAATGTGCCATGTATCCACATTTGTTTGTATGAGTGTGTCTCAAAGTACCAAAAAGTACTGATATTATCAAAATTCTTTTTTTCTCATATTAATAATTTTTTTTAATTCCTGACGATAGCAAATAGAAATCAGCAGAGTAGCATTTTCTTTTTAAAAAAAAGTCTAGAAATGCACACCTGCTTTTCACGACGTTAATGAGAGCAACATGCTTACTGGAGGAGCAGGATGTCTGCTTACCAGACTTTATGATCCATGCTTGACTGAAAAATCTCAGCTGTTCTTGTTTTGAAAAGCACCTGTTGTTTTAGCTGAGTGAAATGTAGTAAGGTGGACAGCTGTAATATATACAAAATATGGTTTTATATTTTCCGTCTAGATGAGCAGATGGCAAAGAGAGAAACCTGCAGTTTTTCCATAACTTTTTTTTTGTCATATACAGGGGTCTTCTGCAAGCTCCCTGTATTTTCACCCCAAAAATGTTACTTCATGATATCAAAAATAAATCATATGTTCACTTGTCTCAAAATCTCTATACTAATGTCTCTATACTAATGTCTCTAAACTGATGTCTCAACCTATTCTCACTATGAGTGCGTATGAAATCGTACGAAAAGTTATGCACCGTAATTTCGTACGTTTTGGACGTTTTTATAGATATTAATGAAAATATATTTGATTGTATAAAAATGAAAGGACCAAAGAAAGCTTTGGAAAAGCAGCTCATGCCTTTTTTTAAAGTAAGGTGAAGGATCTGTAATGCTGTGGGGCTGTTCTCTTCCAACTACCCTGCAAACCTTATTATTGAGCAAACATCATGAATTTGACACAAGAAGGGGACGTGGATAACAAAATCTTGTAATCATTGCTAGAATAATAAAAAATGAAGGTTTCACCTTCATGAAGAGCTGAAACATCTGGCCAAACAAACATCTTCCAACTAAAATAAATCAACCTTTTCACAGCCAGACCTAAATCCTATCGAAAAGCTCTGGGCTTAGTGTTTTTCCCCTACAGCTATCGATTGAAACCTGCTTTTCTTCAGTGTCCCTGTTGTTTCAGCTTTAGAACAATTCTGAAAATGTTCTGGTTGTTTCCCAGGGCAACCCAGATCAAGACGTACTCCTGGGACAGCGCTCAGGTTGTGCTGGTGGGCAACAAGCTGGATTTAGAAGACGATAGGCAAGTCCCAAAAGAAGATGCCCAAAGAGTAGCTACAGAGCTGGGTAATACAGCCACACACGGGCACATTTTAGTTTTTTTTTTTTTTCCAAATTTGGATCTAAAATCACTAAATTAATAGATTTATCTTCCTTTCCCATCCACAGGTTTTCAGTTCTTCGAGGCCAGTGCCAAAGACAACATCAACGTGAAGCAGGTCTTTGACAAACTGGTGGACCTTATCTGTGAGAAGATGAACGAGAGCGTCAATGGAGATGCCAGTCAGTCAGTCAGTCAGAAGGGCGATGCTTTGAAGAATAAACCTGTCACGAGTCAGGGAGGCTGTGCTTGCTGATGGCTTAGAGAAGTTTATAGTAGTTTTCTCTACAAGTTTCCTTTCAGACACAGAAAGAAATGAACCTCACTGGATTTTTCTCCTCTTCACCAAGGAGGTTCATAAGATGCTTCATAATTTCCTCAGACTGCTAATAAAGCCAAAGAGCTTCCCATATCTGTGATTAGGACATCCCTGCCTTCCTATAGGTAAAAAGAAACTCTTCCAGTTAAAGATGTCAACCGGATCAGCAGGGCCTAGGAACCTGCATTAGATTTACTTGTGTTACGCTGCCACCCTGTGGCCATTTTGCAGCAAACATCACTCAAAAAGGCCTAGATTTAAACATTCCTGAATGCTGAGATCTTTTGAGAATATTAAAACAAGTGCATTTGTCTTATAAAAAGCTTGTATCTTGTTCCTTTGAATATATATATATCTATATTGCCCTATATTTTACTTATTTTTCTGTCATGTGAAATAAATTATTGTCACTGTACTGTTTATCTGGTTGGGTTTATAGCCACTTAAAGTTGAAATTAAAAGATCTATATCTGTGCATAATGTCTCTTGGTGGTCATTTATGTAATACTTAGGTACTTCTTTATACTTTCGGAAAGGATCTACCTAAACAGATAAATTTTCAAAGAGAGTGGGACAAAGAGCCAGAAAGAAGTAAAAAAAAAAAAAAAAAAACAGCTCTTGGGTAATCAGAGTGAGCACTCATAACATTTCCTCATACCTTATCCAAAATAGTTAGGTTATGCTGAGTTATTTTCTTTATGCTGTTATATGTTTAAGCTGCTGGAAGACATAGGTACCACTTTTCCTCATTCTGCTTCATTCTATCCTTTTCTCCCATTCTGAAGTATTTTTCAGTTCCAATCTTAACTTTATGTTCTCCCCGCTTTTTTTTGTCGTTGAAGCTTTGCCTGGTCTGTTCCTGTTTGGCTTAGGAACACGGTTCAGTCTGTGAGGCAAAAATCCTAACACAGAGATCCAATCAAAATTAATTTCTAAGGGAAATTTTTCAAATGGCCAAGAGATGCTGATTTCAAAGACTGAATGAAAATACTGCTGAAAAAGTCTGAGAGATAGTACAGAGAAAGGCCATTAGGACATTTGAATAATAACTGTGTAACACGTGCAGTGAGGAGCAGCTAGCATGTGAGTAATACAATCTCACCTGTACAATTGATTTACCAGTTAATCAGTTGCATTTT